TCCGCCCCCCCCCCTAAAAGCAGGAAGACGGACGAAACCGTGGAAATGTGCTGAGCAGCCGCTGGCTCTCTGGAGCCTTCCTTGTACGTGGCTTGGCCTTGCGTGGTTTTATTGGCTTCAGGCAGAGCAGGTTCAGCATTTTAAGAGGACATTTTGAGGGATTCAGAGAGGAACCATAGGCAGCGTTGAGTGCCCAGGGAGAGCTGGGGTGCTTTCAGCCCCGTTCCGGGCTGTGCAGGTGATGTGCCGCCTGCCAGCGGCAGTGCAGAGCCGCCGGGCAACCCGCGTCCGTCCCAGCTCTAAAAGGTCCATTTTCCTGAGGAAGGAGCTCAGGAGGTTCTTACAAAATCTAAACCTTGTAGCCACCTTTTTTATTTTCTTTCTTTTTTTTTTTTTTCGCGTGGGGAGAATAAGCCAGAAAACTCTGCTGCTTCTGCTATTCCCCAACGCAGAATTCAGCTCCAACCACTGCCAGCTCCAAATCCTGATACTACTTACATTAACTTAAATTACTGCCCATGTTAATGGAGCATATGCTTTTGCTCTAAAAACGCCAGTGTACAACCAAGTTCTTTCTTCAGAGCAGGGAGTCTTCCGTTTCAGTCATGGGAACTCAAGTTCTTTCTGCTTTTCAGGTTTATCAGCTAGGATGTGTGAAGCCAGTGAAGAAAGATGATGGATGAGCTCCAGCTTCTTAGGCTCTTTGTCATTGTCTGGATTTGTTCCCCAGGCTGCAGCAGTTGCTAAACATGTACTGGGCACCCAAAGGCACAGCAGTCATTGAAATTAATGTTTAGCTTGTAGAATCTGATGAGTCTATGTTTTTAAAAAAGAGAGAGATGTGCATCTCCTAAGCACCAGCCTGAGTTTGCAGTAATGAGAATTGCTGAGAGAGTGACAATTATTGTTTTGACCTGAAAAGGTCTACATGTCCTGTTAAAAGATAAATGCAGATATGCAGTTACCATTGAACATGGACTGAAAACCAAATTTGAATTCCGGACTTTCTATTTTGTGGCACACTGCAGTGGTTTGGTAATCCAAAAATAAGATGAAGAATATAAAAACGAAACCCAGTTGGATTCAGAAGTGAAGAGAATTAACGAAAAAGCTGTAATTTTCACTTAAATCACATAAATATTTCAAAGTTTGTCCAGCTTGTTTTCACTGCCAGTTTAAATTACTTTATTTAATGAAATACAAGTGGGAAACCTGCAAACTGAACTTTGCCCGTGCAGTCATATCCTCATCCAGATTGCGAAGGAAACATCAGTTTTGTTAAATCAAGGTAGACTTCTCAAAACTGTTTTATTTGCTTGAAATCAAATCTTTATGGAGATTTGTTAGAGCCTGCCAGTTTGCTTGCCATAAATATATTTCCTGTTCCTGCTTTTCCAGTTCTTGCCTCCATCGTATTGTTTCATAAGAATTGTGTCGATGGCCGAACATTGTTCAGTTTCGTGGCCCTGGCAAATACTGCTGCTTGCCCAGAGCAGGACAGCTTCCTTCCAATGGTGTCTGGCTTAGGAGTCGCGTAGGAACTGCCTCTCCATGTCAAGGATTTCCACCTGGGCCTATTTGGCAGCTGTGGCAGAGGTTAGCTGGGGTGATTTTGAACCACCTGCTTTTTAGTAACTGCTCTGGGAGTAAGCAAACAGGCCATGCAGAACAGAGAAGAGCCTTCAGGGCATGATAATTTTCAGCCCTGTGATTGAATCACACAGATTGTTTGGGTGGAAAGGGACCGTACCTCCTGCCTGGGCACAGGGTCAGCAGCCCCAGGCTGCTTGGGGCTTTGTCCAGTCAGGTCTTGAAAACCTCTGGGGATGGAAACTGCACAGCTTCTCTGGGCAACCTGCTGTACTGCAGGGGTGTCCTCAGGGGAAAAGTTTTTCCTTGTATCCAGTCTGAACTTCGAGTTTCAGTGCATGACCGTTGTGTCTCCTGCCATCACCCCTCACTAAAGAGCCTGACTTCTTGTAGGTACTGGAAAGCTTTCCTCAAAGCCTTCTCTTCTCCAGACTGAGCAAGCTCATTTTCTTCCACTCCTCACAGCATGAGTGCTCCAGCCATCTGACCTCGTGGTGGCCCTCCACTGAGCTCACTGCAGTTTATTGACGTCTGTCTTGTATTAGGGGCCCAAAACTGGACCTGGTACTCCAAATGTGCTCTAACAACTGCCAAGTAAAGGGCAGTAATCGCTTGCTGCTCTCTTCTGGCTCGGCTCGTGCTGATGCAGCCCAGTACGCTGTTACCTTTGTTACCACCACAGCACAGTGCTGGCTTGTGTTTAGTGCACTGACCACCAGGACTCCCAGATCCAGACTGAGGTCATGAACTAGCAGGGTGGGCCGATACCAGGTCTTTCAAAAAGTATTTCTCTCTGGGCTCTCCCTTCCCATGCTGAATCAGGATGCCCATTTGTCACATGCTGTGGTGAGTCACTGCCGCGGTAACTCCCTGGCAAGCTTGCAGCCGCCTGTGACTCTGAGCTGTCTGCAGTCATGGAGCCCAGTGTTCAGCTTTCTGTTGGAAATACAAAGTGTGCTGAGCAGGGGTGATTTTGAGACCTAAGGAACCAACCTTGCACAGTGCCTAGGATTGCTAAAGGAGCACGGGACAGGATAGGGTCAGTGGAATACTTGTGTCCATCCTCTTGCCTGCTTGTTAAAATTCGTAATAGTAGCTCTAGTGATGGAAATTGAAATCACTTGCTCCAGCCTCTGACTCAGGGGAGGAGGGAGGACTGAATCACTGCCCTTTCTGAAGCTGTGCCCTTCCTTGCATCTTAGAATGCAAAGTTGTAGGGTGCGCTTTGCTTTCCATATGGTAAAATAGATACGTACAAATGCATCCAAACATCCTCGTACTTTTGATGTAGCCTGAAAGAAGCGTAGAGGTGTGAACTCTGAGGGAAGATGTAAAGTATGGTTACAGTGCCCAGAGATGAGATGGTCACTGATCAGGTGTCTTGGAAAGGCACCAGTTTGGTCCTGTGCCTTCTCAGTGCTGGAGAGGTGGGAGAACATACCCTGTTGCAGGAGCATGCTTCCCTCCGGGGTGTTGGGCAAGTTGCTTCTTCAGCACTGGTTTTACGTGCTGGCAACTGGGATGGTAACTCAGAAGGCTTTATGGTTCACTTTTTTTTTTTTGAAAATATTTGCAGTTTGAAACCATTACAGGTTCCAGCAGACATGCTGGAAGAACTGTCAAATAAGTGCTGTAAAACCTTAGGCTTGGGTAGTTTGCTTTCAAAGCTTGATTTTTGGATGTCAGTCTGTTCTGTGGTGCTGGATGTGTAATAACTTGTTCTGAATTTGAAAAGGGAGCTAATACTGAAGACGGCCCTTTTTCTTGTAAGAATGATGTATATTAAAAACTCCTTTTTAAAAAGACTTCCAGGCTTGCGCATGTAGATACTGAACCACTTTACATTTGTTGTTAGATACACAGGACAGAAAGGGAGGCCGAGACATTGATAGAGGAAATAATTTGTCAGAAAAAGTCTTTTAGCATACCCACACAGTTCTCTTGTTGGAGGTCTCAGATTTGGCCTAAGTTTGTGGCGACTGCATCACACCACTGTCTTGGCTTTGCTGCCTGTCTGGATTTAACACAAAACTTTATTAATTGTAATCTTTTAATAACTTGGAAAAGCAGGAACACTCTGGGAATTCAGCAGCCGTGACTTGGAGGGTAGTGAGGCATGCAGATAGTGTGGGCCTTTAAGTCCTAAATACTGGAATCTTGCATCAGTCTTAAATAACCCACTGTTTCCTTAAGGTGAAACCTCAGCTAGAAGAAAAAGAAGGGAAAACGTTTGATGTCTTCACTGCAGTGGAGTTTAAAACTCAGGTGGTTGCTGGAACAAACTACTTCATCAAGGTAGAGGACACTGGACAATGGGATTGTTTCTTTTTTTTTTTAATTAACATGTATAATATTTGGACTGGTGAGTTTTTTCTTGCTTACCTACAGAGGGATGCTTATGATTTGGCCTCAATAAGAAAAAAAAAATGTACATTAAAAAAAAAAATAACCCACCTGCCCACCTCCCAGCCCATCTCCCTGCCTGTGTTAAATGGAGACGAGATAGTACTTCTCTATTTTCGTAGTATTCTCATAATTTTCAGTTATTTTGTGAAACTTGGTTTCGGGGATAATTACACATCTGTGACATAAAGCACTAACATCGCATTAAGTGAAGTCCGGATGTGTAAACATACAGTGAATTATCAAACCTCTCTGAGTCTGCCTGTAATGATGCCACACACACACACACACACAAAAGCAACTGTAACTAAAGTGTTCAAGTGCTTGCTGTGCCAGATAAGATTAGAGCATTTTGCATGTATTTAATATATTCATCACTGCTACGCAGCTCCACTTCCCTACCTGTATATTCCCTGTCTCAGGCACAGGGAGGATTAATAAGCATAGAAGGATTAGGTGGCATTTCCACGAAGTCACGACTCCCAGTCTGTTTTAAAAACAAGACCACACCTTCTGAGGTGATGGTTTTTCTTAGCACCTCGCTGCTTCTCCATTCTC